CATTTATGCAGGGCCGGTGTAGTGCCGAAATTTGCACCCTGCCAAATTATGCACCCCCTAGTATTGGTAGGTTTAGGAGTAGGTGTGGGGGAGGGATTAGGCAATCAGGTAGCGATTTCAACCAGGGGGTGCATAATCTGGCAGGGGTGCAGAATTCGGCACAACACCGGCGCTAGCTATAGGCAGAGCAGCAGGCGATTGCCTAGGCCTTGGGCTTTGAGGAGGGGCCTCCATAACCGTAACATCCCCATATATGCTATTCCACCAGTCAAGACGGGCAGAAATACTAGCCTCATTGTTGATTGGATGTAGTTGAATTGTCACCCATCTGTAATTAAACCAATTAATGTTGCAGTTTCAAAGCGGGTCCCGCTTTATGAATGTCTGCTAACGAACGCATCCTTCAAGTGCTGCGAACTGTGCGATGCAAACGGCTAAAAAGGCACGCAAAGAAGTACAGCTCTTAATGCAGGTGTGTAAGTTGCTGTCATCTATTTTGGAGTGATTGCAATGTATTCTAAATATAAACTTGTTCTGTCGATCAGCGTGATTTCTGGAAAGATCATTCACTGCTTTATTACAAGTTTAAAAGAGCGCGAGCGCCGTTGACGCGCCCAGACGCGACGCTTTGAATTTGCGCGTACAATGAATGAAATCGCGTCGGGAGCTGACTTGCAAAATAGCTTCAAAAGTAAAAGCAGAGAAGTTTGTATTCAAAGTTAAAAAGCAAACACTAGGAAATTTTTTTAAATGGTTCAAAAACATTGATGTAATCTAAATTCAGCTGATGATTAAGATTACTGCTCTAACACTTATAATTTCAGTTTCAACTAACTAAACTTTTTTCTGCTTAGTAGCGACCGTGTCTTTCTGTTCCACTTGATTTGTGTGTGTGTATGTGTGTATATATATATATATGTCATATTTAAGGTAACAATGAAATGCATAATATTATATTATTGATATCAATAACATGACAATATCTATAGTCAATATTGATTAAATGGGAGGGAGAAATTCTGCTCAGACCCAGCTAGGAAAAAAATGATAAAAGCACTTACTGAAGTGGTATTCTGGAACTGTGAATAAATGAAACAA